GAATCATGGTATGGTTCAAAAGCGAGCTTTGCAGTGTCTGTATGAAAAACTGCAAGCAAATCAAGACTTCAGAGGGGAAATACTATTTGCCGTTTTCGCCCTGTGTGCAACCAACCTCATACCGTCAGTTCAACCAGGTATTAGCACTCTGCCTGTGCGAAAAATTATGTGACGTAAATGCAACCAGTTTGTTCAAAGATACAGAAGAAATGGATACAAGAAAGAAGTGGTGTGATTTGCTTCATAAACAACAAGACGCCAGAAAGCTTAGTCTAAAAAAACCCCAACCCAACCCAACAACAACACCACACTAAAAGTTGGTCAAAAAATTGAAATAGCTGAAGTCATTTGCTTGTAGAGAGTCTGCAGTCGTGTGAAATTTCGCACCTACATTCACTCAGCACGAGAGTTTGGCTCGCTTTCTCTTCAACAGAGATTGTTGGTACTCCTTCGTTTCCGAAGATGACGATGAATCCTGCAGCTCATCTGTGGACGCGCATGTGGCTGTACAATCCGATCCTGGAGGAACAGTGTCTGTTGCAGTGGGGACTCTGGAATGTCGTGGTTGTGGTGGTTGGCTTATGTCTCCACTCTCTTCTGAAAGTCAGCTTTTCCCTTTAGTTTGTATCGCTGTTTCTGATGGCAATACGGACGGCCCTGTGCCAGGCGTTCCTTTTCGGTGGGAGAGATTACACACTACGGAACAGCTTGTCAATAATCTGTGAAGTTAGATCTCGATGAAGTTGCACAGGAGAGCAATTTGATTATATCTTCCATGGCTGATGTAATTTTTATTTGTGCTATAAGAATTCTTTTCTATGAACACCAAATGTGTGTGAATACAAAGGATGTGGCATTAGAAAAAAGTGGGGATCTAAGTGTATGTCATCAGCATGTGAGTTTCTTCGCTTTGTGCATTCTGCTAGACTTACCTACGTGTTTACATTTAAACTATGTTTACTGTAAGTAAGATGCTGACTGCATTGCTCCCCAAAATAAACTATTGTACCGGGTGTGGTTTTTCTAGTTGGTGGGTGGGTGGGGTGCTTTGTTTTACTTTTATTAAAAAATTACGAGCAAGACTATATAGCCTAGACTATAATTGTAACTAGCCATAACTAGAGTTTCCATTAAATATATTTGGGCATAACTCAAAAGTTTGTGGCGCCTTGGTCCGAGAGACAAATCACTTTGATGCATGCAGGCCCTGGATGATTTCGCTATGCCCTTCTTGCAACATTCCGCTGTCTTATATATGGTACATGAAAAAAACCCAACAGCATTGAAAACGAACTATTCTTTGTTGTTCTCTTTTATCTCCTTTTTTCAGTGGGGGTGGGGGTTGGAGG